CCCAAAAGCTGTGTGCTTGCCAGATCAATAATGTCACCAACATCACAGTGAACTATTGGAAGTGAATTCAGTTTGTAATTGATTACTGTGTGAGCTTTTCGATGACTCTTCGGAGTTTTGTTGTGTGAAATGTTGTTGAATTGAACATTGTTTTGAATTAATTTACAGGAGGACACAAGTGCGGAGGCGTTGGCGAATTTATTGAAACTGGATGATGAGCAACATGATGCGCTCGAGTTTCAGATTCTTTTGTTCGGGAAGATGGAGAAGTTGTTGAGTTATCGAGACGAATGGAGGAATGTCAAGAACGCTATAATGAACCGTTTCAAAGTTGGTAGTATTCTTCTGTTGATTGTCATTTTACTTTTAATTATCTGGTTCTATAGTCTCATTTTATTTCATTGTTTTATTCTGGTTTTGATCAAAAAGTTCAAACTGAATTCACAGAATTTGAAAGGAAATTGAGTGTTGATCGATAGTTGACATTCGGAAAGAGTGATATGTCAAAGATTGAAATTCGTTGAAGTGATTGCTGATGATTCGTAATTGATGTGGCAGAGTTGATAATGAAGGTATTTGATAAAACGTAAAATATTATTTCGAAGGGTGTAATAAGACAAACAATATCGTGTAAGAAGTGTGGAATGGCTCGTCACTCTGAGTTACCGTTCAATCCACTGTGTTTGGTGATCGATAAAGTCAAATCGCTCTCGAAAGCGATCGAAACGTGCTTTGCTCCTGAACAGTGAGTTTCATTTTCATTTGTTCATTTTTCTCATATTCCTTCGTTTCGATGATTTTTGTGATTCTCATAATCTGTTTCGGGTGGTTTGCGGCTGCAGACCCCTTTTGGATGAGTTGTGAGTTGACTGTGATTGGAGGGGTTCTAGATTACATGTAGTGAAAAAGGAATTAGTAAATGCGATAGTTTGGTAATAAGCTATTGAAAATTGCATTGTTGAAAATTATTTCTGTTGAAATATTTCTTTTGAAATCCATTTCTTTCTGTCTATTTACTTATTTCTGTTAGTAGTAAGCTATCAATATTTGCATTGAAAAAAATGTATCATTGTTGAAAAAATTCTGTTCGTTATGTTATCGCTTAGTTAGATCAATTTTATAG